GTGCAATCTCTCTCATACCCACCTTTCTGAGAATCAGTCCTCTGGCTATTTGATTCCTGTGCTATGTAGCAACTGGAAATGCAGCCTTCCTCTAACCTGCCACCTGACATCCACTATATCACTTTAAATGTTTAACATTTATTTCTAGTAAGAAAAGTGAAATTTATTCAGCAATTTTGAAATATGCAATATACTATTATAAACTACAGTCATCATAAGTCTTTCCTTAAGATGTTTTTTTTCCTCAGAAATTTTGTCATAGTAATGAAAAGCTACCACAGTTTCTCATATCTTTTTCTCTATATTTTTCTTTACTGATTATGCATATGTTAAATGGATATTTATTATTGTAATATGGTAACTCCTTTAATAATATTTCATTATAGTTTTCTTAGTGGTTGTTCTATGACTTATCATATATGCCCTGTCTTATCAGGAAGTATAAATCTGGAATATCATTATTATACTAACTTAATTTAATTGTGATACAGTGATGTTCTTCTCCATAGCTCTAACTATTTTTCTTTGGGTTGTTGACATTGTACAATATATTGTAATAGATTTTTACTTTATGTAGTTTTGGAATATTTCTAAGTTTTCAAGATTCATGATCTTCTGCAATACAGAATCTACCATTAATCTTATATCACATCTAGTGTATTTTATATCTCAGACACTTTGTTTAAAAAACTTGTTCTAATTATTTATACATAACAATAGAATGCGTTTTGAAACATCATACACAAATGGAGTGTGACTTTTTATTCATTTGGTTGTACATAATGAAAAATTACACTGGTCGTGTAATCATATATGTACATAGGGTTAATGTCCAATTCATTCCACTGTCCTTCCCACCCCTACAGCCCCTCCTTTCACTCCCCTCTGTATAAGCCAATATACCTTTCATGTCTCTTTTGCAACTTTCTGAATATGTAGAATACTGTTTTAATGTCATTGTCTGCTTATTTTAACTTCTATGTCAGTAGTAGAATAATTTAGATTGATTACTTTTCTCTGTCTTATCCACAGTATTTTCTTTTTGTGCTAGCTGGGCATCAATGCCTGACATTATAACTTTACCAGTTTTGTTGCTAAACATTCTTGAATTTCATGAGTATTCTTGAACTTTTATTACTGAGGCAAATGAGGCTAATTAGGAGCTATTTGACTCACTTGTGTCTTACTTTTAACACTTTTGGGGGGGGGTAAAATTAGAAAGTATTTAGTTTAGGACTAAGTAACCACCACTACTAAAAGAAGACCTTATGAATACTCTATCCAATGCTAGCAAATTACAAAGCTTTCCAGTATTTTAGTGGTAACTGGCACTATTTCCAACCCTATGAATCTTTAGATACCATCATCCCCTGTAATCCTTTTGAATTACTGTTTTTCTCTATCTTTGAGTAGTTTCATTCACTGATGAGCTGAGAACCTTAGATGTGCTATCTGAGGATTACTATTGCTTTTTATTTTCATTTTTTCTATGTGTCTTTATTTTGCATATTCTGGCTATCCTAGCCTCTCCAAATTTATAAACTCTATACCTTTAACTCAGTGAGACACATGGGATATTTAGGGATCTTCCTTCCTGCACTGTGTTCTGGATACACTATCCAGGAAGGGCAATGGATAACTGTAGTTTCACCTTTTCCCTTTACTTTGTCTGAACTCCGCTTTTTCTTCCTCACATAAAAACAGTTTGGTCTTCAGCTGTGGATACACATTTGAGTAGCATAACATCTCAACACTAGGACAGTGCTTTAGACTTTCATTGGAAGTCATATGAAAACTTACAAATTTCTGACAACTCTCCTTATAAATATGTGCAAGTACAACAAAACATAAAAATTACCACAAAATGTCAGTGGATGGATCCTCTGGTATTTTACAGACCTGTTTTTTTTTTTTTTTTTTAATCCTAATTTGTCTTCTAGTTCTCCTTTTTCATACAGGGGATTGAACCCAGGGCCTTGTTCATGCTAAGCATGCACTCTACCACTAGTTACACCCCCAGCCCTTAATTTACCATTCTTTTTCCATCCCTCATTCTTTTACCTCTAGCTCCTAGACTCTCTTTCTACCTTAGGGAAACTTCACACTTAGGGAATCTTGGTAAGGAGGCAAATACCTCTTCCCTCCATAAGGGATGCAACTCACTTTCTTAAACATTCTTGCAGGTAGATACTATATGAAGCTTTAATTCCACTGGTCAGATGACCACATCTGAACTCTGTCCCTCAACCTGATGACACGGAGAGGCTGGGACTGTGCAGAATAATTTAGCAAGGGTAGTGTGAATGGCAATAGTGATGCCTAGTTTTCAGGAGCAGAAGGAAAGTAGTTCCACCTGCAGGTCCAGTGTCCAGCATCAAGATGTCAGTGGTGTGAGTAGTGGCATCTGTGTCTGGCAGTAGGGATGGTGAAGCCTACATGGGACTTGATCTAGAGTGGTATTATGGATCTGTTTCTGGTTGTGTAGCCTTAAGGCCAGTTGGTTCTGTGGAATTTTCCAAAATAAAATAAATTTTTTGCAATATTACATATATAAAATCCTTTATGTTTAAATGGGAAAAACCAGCATTATATTCTTTATTGCAAGGTGTGAGAGATCAGTCTGGGAAATGGTTTGGGACAGCAAAATTTGAGATTTACATTATCCTAAGCTGAAAGCTTCTTTCTGTATTTTCCACTTGGCTGCACCCCTGTAGAGAAAATGGCATTTTTCTCTCAACAACATGTCTCATAATTGGCAAAACATTTATTCCTTCTTTTTTCCCAGGAAAAAAATAACATTTAAATGTGGAATCTCCACTCTAGCCATTCTGATAACTGAATTCAGTAATTCCCATCTGAGTACCAGGATTGCTGGAGGCTTATTAAACAATTCTCAAGTCTCTCTACAGACCCACTGTGTCAGAATATTGGTTCTAGATTCTAGGATTCCCTTATTTAATAAGTCTTACAGGGGACAAACATAACTGGGGAATCCTTTTCTATATTCTTGCTCCTGCAAGTATGATTTGCAGACCAGCAGCATCAGTAACACCTTGCCATACATAGTAATCTCCTGCTGTACCTTAGACCATGTGTCAAGGTGACACTCAGGGGATCGCTGTGCACAGGAATGTCTGTGACTCCCTTATTGAGGTGGTAACAGAACTTTTTTAGTATCCTCCAGACCTAGAAGCTGGCCATACCTCCAGGATCTGGCCATACATCTAATTTTTCAATGATTATGTTCAGGACACACTAGATTCTTTGTTCTCCCCAGAACACACAGACAGGATCCTACCCTAGGGGTATCAGCATATAAGGAATCCCCCCAATCTCCTCTGGCTTAGGAAAAGCTTCCTTTAGACTCTTTGACAAATTCCTTCATGTCTTTCAAATATCCTCAAAGGCCACCTTGCCAGTGACAATCACTCTGTCAGTCCTGTAAAACAGCCATCTTCCCAGGCTCCATACACCCACACTCAGGATCACCTTCCCTATAACAATTACAATCTCCTAACCTGAACAGTGTTCTTATTTATTTAATCAGAGCATTTATTTAATTGTATTTATTTAATCTGCCTCTTCCCACCAGAACCCATGCTCTAAAACATTGGAAGTTTTAAACTCTTTTTTAGTTCCTGCTGCATTATAGATGAAAATATAGCATATCATATAGCCTATGCTCAACAAATGCCAGTTGAATGAATGACTCCTGTAGAACACCTCCTTATTCTAGAGACACTATCTTTATTTATGGAGTCTCAGAGGAGCAAACACTGCTCTGAGGCAGCTGTAGTGAATGTCCTTCATTTTCACACTGAGGTCAGGACCAACTAGGCTATTCTTAGAAGGGCTGCCCTCCCTCCTCCTTCACTCCCTTCTTCCCACTATTTCATACCGCCCTTCCCACACTCTACAGCATAGGACTGCATTTTTCTCTTCAGAAATTTTCAATTATTGACTCATACATCTTATATTCCAACCAAATAAAAATCTAAATTAGACTCTGCTTTATAAATCCACAGGTTGAATTGGAACAAGGGCTAGGCTAGTTAGAGCTAAAGACAGGGAAAAAGGACAGGTGATCAGAGAAGACAGAAAACTAATAGGAATTTGAGTTATTAAAAAATATATTAAGATGAGATATTATAAAATCCATTCTCTCTGCTAATTTTAGAATCTGGTTCCCTTAAAATATTGAGAAAAAGATGAAAAATACAATCCAGAAAATACCCCTAAAGGAAGTCACAAGATGGAGGAGTCTGAAAATTCACCACTTGTCACCAGAGACAGTGTGCAAGAGCTGTCCTGGGCTCCTCCAATGGCAAAGTGCTTCCTCTTGCTACAGAGATAGGCACACTCATAGGAGAATGAGATCAAAACTTCTACAAATAACAAGAACAGGCATAGTCCCCTATATAAAACAAAAACACATAAAAGATGGAGACTTAAGATCAGGGCTTAGGATTGAGCCAAGATCGAGCCAGCCACATAAATCCCTCACTGCCTCTGGTACCAGACACAGGACAAAACTCTGTATCCTTATAATCACAGGTCCTGGTGGAATAATATTCTAATAAGGGACAAGGACAAAGGAGATGAAGATGACCCAGCCAGGGAGCACCCATATCTAAGCCCATGACAGACTGAATACTTAAAGGACATAGCCTGGTCCACACTTGGGTTTTGACAGCCTTCTCTTGCCCCTACATTTAATGGACTCAGTACAACAAGTAACATGTATTCTCAAAGTTTTCAGATTTTTTTTCTCTTTCAAAGGAGAATGTTCCTCTCCTTTAATGAACCCATCAACCACACCTCATAGCTGGAATTTACAGAACAAATCCATATTCAGATTCTCATTTTCAACAGGGAAGTAAGAAGTGGCAGCACAGCACAACATAAAGTTAAAACAGGGGCTCTCTTTCATCCAGTGAGGAGGTCCATGGAACAGGGTAGAGGAGAGTGTGGCTGTGGAGTCACTAATCAAGACCTCCAGAGACAAGCAGGAAGCAGGTCTGATTTTATTGCGGCAGTTACCATTTATATATACCCAGGCAGTAGCTAAGTAGATTACAGACAGCCACCAATACAATTTCTGGCCAACTGTCCTTGCAGTGAACAATCAAAGAGCAGACCCTGGAGCAAGCACAGGGACTGCAACTGCAGCTTCATGCCCGGGGCTGTGCCTATAGGGTAAGCGGATTGTCACTTACGTGCCTAGCACAAGAGGAGTGGTTTGCCACCAGACGCCCTTAACATATGCCGTGTATGCAATACTCCATGCACTTGTCCACACAGAGGTATCCCAGCCCTGTGTCTGCTACAGGGGAAGAGAACACAGATCAGTGTGGGGCAGGGGTCTTGATGATCAGGGATGGACTGTTCTTATTTCCTTACATTATGCTGATAGCAACACAGACACATAGATATAGTCAGATGTGAACTTCACAATGAGAAATCAGGAGCTCTTGAAACCATCATCAGGATGGAGAGATGTGAACAAATCTTGTATGGTTCAATTCTACCCATGACAGCTGTTTTGCGCTGTAGAATAAAGTAATCATGAACAAATCAGATCAGTACCTATAAGTGGCAACATTCTGAAAGGTTCAAATTTAGAGAGTCCCTGTAACCCAGTCATGTCCTCTTTGCCCCACCTTCTTTCCCTCTTCATGCTTTCCAGTGACTCACCTCTTCAAATTGTGAGTGACTTATCAGATCCCACAGGAGATATGGCTAAAGGAGAGATTATGGAGTGGGTTAACTCCCCCATGGACTCCCAAATACACTATCCCAAAGGTCTTAGGATCAACCCCTTTAAACTTACAGGCAGGCTGAGCATAGCTCTCTCTTTTTCTACCTTTACAAAGAAAAAAAAAATCCTGTGAGAGGCCTAGAGGAGGCAAGGCCAAAAGGGTACAGGATGTGCAAATCCTAGACCTAGGGAAGTTTTCAGAACTGTAATTGCAGACCCAGGGAAGGATCAGAAGGCACAAGGACAGGAGATGTGCAGGAACTGAACCAGTTGTCCTCCTGAAAGTCTGACCTCAGCAGGGCTTTCTCTTCTGACCTCTGGCTTTTGGGAAACAGGTCTGTGTCACTACAATAACCGGGTGATAAATTTGTCCTTCATTTTCACATTGCTTTACAGTAATGTAAATATCAGTAAACAGGCTCCAAGCTGGGTAAGCACTTGTACATGGATGGTACTTCCCAGTCTTTGCTGATCATATTCTGAAAGTCACAATCCTGAATGCTAGAAACTCATGTGTTGAATTCTGAAACATTAAAGTCTCTAAAGTCTAAAATCTCAAAAATCATAACTCTCAACGATTAAAATCCCAAATGTTGAAATGCTGAAAGCTGATTTCCCACTGTAAATTTCTTTGTGGGAAAAAGGCTACTTATATTAGAGGGGTAGAAAGCCAAATTCTGGGGGAATTGGCCAAGCAATACAAGCTACAACAAAAATGTGTATAAGAGTGTGTCATTTGTCTACATTGGCATCTCTTCAGCTGATGAAATTCCAGAAGCTTTTAATGAATTAAAGATGTTTTTGTCTGAAGGAGCCAGTGATGTTACTGATAATTATGTGCAGAGGAAGACGTTTATTTAATGGTGTTCAATCACCAGTATTGCTTCTGCTCAGTTTATGGTGTTTTTGAGTGCATACAGATGGGTTTCCACACACCCCAAACAACACAGAAGTGTGGCACAGCAGATTGCAAAAATCAATAAATAATTATTATATCAGTGTATATCAAATCTTGGAAGAATTTAAAAGCAGTATTGCCACATAAAAAATGAATGTGAACATATTCTCCAAGAAAAGCCACAGCTTAAAAGAAAAAAAAAAAGAGCCACTACTCCTTATGATACGAGACTTCAGAATATAGTTAATGATCATGAAAGTGTACCAGTTTTTATGAACTATGTCCATTAATTATTGTTTTCTATCCCTGTCATATACTTTCTTCACATTTCAAGTTCTTCTTAGTTTTCCCCCACTATTTAAAATTATCAGCATTATTTAAATTTTTTTCCTGTTTTTTATTTCATCTTTACAACATCTAATAATGGAGGTATAAACTGTATAAGGCTTTCAGAGAGTCTCAATTTATTTTATGGTTTTTGCAAATGTGACTGTGAAAGTACATTATCAGAATGTTGGCTGGGTGTAAGCATTGTAACATGTATGTAAAAACACTGAAACTTTCTTGATAAATGAGAAATGTCTTTTTTGCATATCTATATTTGTGAAAGACAAAAACTTCTCAAGGTTTTGACTTTCTTTTTGATAACTGCATATTTGATGGTGATTTCTTGTGCATTCTGATTTACCTTTAAAAGATTTAGGTTGTCTAATACAGTATTTCAGATTACTGTAGGTATAAAGCTGGGATACACAGTTACTAACTATAGTGATAGGTATTCACACATTTTGCTTGTTCACCTATTTAGGAATATGGTTCATCTGCTTATAATTGTTATACCTGTGCAACTGTTGTTAGTATAGCTGCAAATTTATTCATGCAAAAATATGTTATTGCATATTTTATGGTGTAAAGTAGTTTCTGACATGTTCTGTCATGTCTCTAAAATAAATCCCTTTTGAAAATGCAAATAAATGTCTTTCAGTGAATTAAAATTTTTTCCCAGACTTATAGTTTGGGAGTTTTAATCTATTGGAGATTTAAACATTTGAGATTATGGCTTTCAGTATCATGTCTTTTGTGGGTCAAACCCTTCTTAGTTAAAAAGTCAAGAAAAAGTACCTGGGGCTTGGAATTCCCCACTGGGAAAGAAAACTCAGACCTCACCCTTACCCTACCTGAGTTCTTCTTCCTCCACATCATAACAGCAGCAACAGCTCCAAGGAGAAGCAGGCCAGCAACCATTACCACAAAGGTGATGGAGAAATGGGGAGACCTCTCTGGGAAAGGAAGGGAGGATAAGTGACCCTGGCTCTCAGTTTTAAGCCCTGACCCTGCTGAGGATCTCCAAAGAACGGCTCCTGTTTTCCTGACCACAGGCCCTGTGCCCTCATCCCTCCTTACCCCATCTCAGGATGAGGGGCTCAGGCAACCCCTCATGCTGCACATGGCACATGTATCTCTGCTCTTCTCCAGAAGATACCACCACAGCTGCCCATTTCTGGAATTTTCCATCCCCTGCAGGCCTAGTCTCCACAAGCTCCATTTCTTGGGTTTGGTCCTCCCCATCCCGTTGCCAAGTCAGGGTGATCTCCGCAGGGTAGAACCCCAGAGCCCAGCACCTCAGGGTGACCTCATGGTCAGAGATGGGGTGGTGGGTGACATATGTCAATGGGGGATCTGCAGATAAGACTCAGTTAATTGGGACATTTTGCATGGGGCACTGAAGAATGGACAAGACAATAGTTGTGAGGTGGGAACATAAAACCCAGACACTAAGCAGGATTCAGAAATCTGGGATAATATTCCTATTTTTTCTTATGTTCTAGAATCAGGGTGAGACAGCCAAGAGGAAGATGCTCCAAGCTTCTAAGAAATACTTTAGATTCTGACCTGAGTGGAGACTGACAGCTGAGGAAAAGATGGCCTCAGACTTCCAAAGTCATTGTGTTGGGATAAAGAACAAAGCCTGAAAGTCACCCTGTGATGCCCGGGTTGCTGCCAGAGTCAAAGGAAACTGATCACTTATTTTAAGGATTGTCTTCCCTCCAGCCCTACAACCCCTTGGTGTAATTAAGAGACAAGTGGTTCTTAGAGTCACTCTCTGGTACAGCTTTTGGAAACCAAGTTGAACTCATACCCTTTTGGATCAGAGGGAGGACACTATTCTCCTTTTTTTGCAAGAGGCGCATGGGGAAATGTACAGGAGATCTTCAAGTTGCCCCGCCGCTGCTGATACCTGCGCGCTGAAGTATCTCCTTCCCGTTCTCCAGGTGCTTGCGGAGTATCTCCACGCACCTCCCTTCCAGGAAGGCCCTGTTTGTCTCAGTCACTCCCTGGGCCTCCCACTTTCGTTGGGTGATCTGAGCTGCCATGTCCACCACGGTCCAGGAGCGTAGGTCCTCATTCAGAGCAATGTAATCGGTGCCGTCATAGGCGTACTGCCAGAACCCACGGAGGAGGCGCCAGTCTGGTCCCACGTCGCACCCGTACACCCTCTGGAAGGTGTGAGACACTGATCCCATCCCGCGATTAGGTTTCCCCCCCCCCACCTACTCCAGCCCTCGCTTCAGACGACTGGAGGTGACTAGTGAGATCTTTTCCATACCCGAAACAGTAAACAAAACCAGAGCCCCACATTTTTCATAGGTTAATGAAAATCAGCCGGTCTCACACTATCGCCATGAGTCTCAGACCCCGAGGAGATTCTGGAGGATTTGGCAGAAAAGTGGGAGAAGAGGAGGGGTTACTTGGAACCCTGGCCAGAGGTCACTCACAGTTGTCGCTCTGGTTGTAGTAGCTGAGCAGAATCTTCAGGCCCTCTCGGTAAATCTGCTGTAGCCCTCTGGCATACTGTGTTTCCCTGTGCCAATACTCCCGCCCCTCCAGCTCCATCCAAGGCGTCTGTGGCTCCATCTTCCGAATTCCAGCGTCGAACTCAAATTGCAAGAACGGCGTGTCGTCTACGTAGCCCATTTCGATGATGTGAGGCTCCCCGCGGAGGGGTCGCGACATGGCAGTGATGAGAAACTTTAGAGAGTGGGAGCCTGGGGGAGGGGAGCGACTGAGACCTCGGGCGGGACCTTGGGTCCCAGGCTGAGAAAGCCTGGAGTGGAGTAGCAGGGCGCCAGGGCTTGTGAGACGGGAAGCGCGGGGAGGCAGAAGGGAGTGAGGGAAGGGGCCACTCACTACTCAGGAGATGGGGACCCGGGGAGGGGTCTGGGTTTGCGGTCAAAAAGACCCGGCTTCCCAGGGTCCTGAGTCCGCTCAGAGCTGTCCCCTTACCTCTCCTGCGCAGAGGTCTTTTTTTTTTTTGTTTTCGGTTCTCGCACTCACCAGCCCAGGTCTCGGTCAGCGCCAGGGCTCCCAACAGCAGTGGGAGAAGGGCTCGGGGCTCCATGGCTCTGATCCTTCGTGTTTGGGGACAATCAGTCTCGGTCCCTCCCTTTGGATTTCATAACCAGGAACCGCGGGCGACGCTGACTGGCTTCTCTATGAATCCTACCCGCAATAGGAGTACTGGGGCCCTGTCACGAGTTCCAGGCAGAAGCAAAAGTGAAACCTGAGGAAATCCCCAAGGTATTCCCCAACTCTAGGCTTCTTTACACACCCTCCTAGGTCCTGGGACCCTGAGAGCCATGCCCGGGACCTGGGGATTTTGCCTAGCTTAAGCTCTCTCTTCTTGCCATGAAGACATAGTCTTTCAGAGTCCTGCCTTAGGTGCTAAGTCAGCAGTTCTTAAACATTTTGGTTTCAGGATCTCTGTATGCTCTTAGGAATTAAGTAGGCCCCCCAAAGTAATTTTGTTTGTGTGTATTATAGTTATCAATATTTATCACATTAGAAATTAAACCGTTTTAAAATAATCTATCTAGCAAATTAAAAATTTATTGCGTGTTAACAGAAAAATAGTTTTAGAGAAATACTGTTTTTAAAAAATAAAGTAATAAAGTGGAAGCTGGATTTTCTTTACATTTCACATTTTTATAAGTCCTTTTCATGTCTGTTTTGTTAGAAGACCTATGTATTTTTTTTTATCTATTTCTGCATTTAACCTATAATTTTGATTGAAATATATGAAAAAAAAATCTAACCTCATACCAATATGTAAGAGGAGTCACTTTTAATAATGTTTTTGGATAATTGTGGGTATTCATCTTTAAATAAATACTCTAAAATGACATGTCAACTTCTTAAAGGTTATTTGCAATGCAGAACCTGAAACACTGTCACTGAACTTTTGATATTCTGTTGAATTAAAATCTATAGATGTGTCTATATATTTTAATGTCAGTCAGATATACGAGTCTAAATAATCATAGTTTTTCTGTCATTTCAAGTAAAAGTGATATTCTATAAAACAAACTGATACTATTTATAAAATGTTTTCATTGACATAAACATCCCAATTTGGAATGTAGTAGGCTTTATGTGTATTTCCCATTTAATAATATAAGATATTTTTTAAAATGTGAATTCTAGACTAGAGATTTACTGTAGTTAATATTTTTTAATCCTTCAATCTGGACATGTTTATATGAAAGTGACTTCTTCTTCTGTAATTAAGAGGTGGTAAAAAATGACAATAACCACTCTTAAAGTTTAGTATTGTAGCTTCATTCTTGCTGAATTTTATTTCAATGAAAATAATGTTTTAGTAATGTTATAAAAATAGTTTTGACCTTGTGGATCCTGTGAAAGGATCTCAGAAATTCAAGGGTTCCATATACCACACTTTGAGAACTGCTGCTCTGAGTAAACCACAGAGAGTACTCCACTGCCCCCATCCTCTTTGCCACTTCATTTCCCAGAATTTCTCTTCTTTAGATGGATTCCTGCTTCTCAAACTTCGTGCTCTATCCCTGGACTCTTCTAGAGGAAAATTCATCCCCTAAAAATTTGATGTCAACAAAGTGTCTTCAGTCTGGGAATAGAACTTAAGGAACATGTGTTTTTCTTTTTGGAACTGGGGACCCTTTGTTTTTAAAGGCATTAAGATAAGAGATTCACTTATGACCCATTTCAGTTCTATGTATTCATACTCCAGACAGAAATCTTGTGCAATCTGTGCAAGCAATAATATTGGCCCTTTCATTTCAAATGGATCTTATTTACTTAACCTGTGGCCCAGATAGCATCAAGAGCAGTTAACTTAGTCCATGAGGTTGCTATATATAACAAATGTACTATACACTGGGTAGCTTATAAACAACAGAAATTTATTTGTCACATTTCTCAAGGTCAGGAAGTTCAGAATCAAGGTTTTGTATAATCTGTGTGGTGAGTACCCTCTTCCTCATAAATAGCTGTTTTTTCACTGTATCACTGGATGGTGAACAAGGGGCTAGGGAGATTTTATAATGAATGGGATTAGAACTATCATAAGAACTATTATAAGAGCTCTGCTCTCATGATCCAATCACATACAGTAAATCCTACTTACAAATACCATCTCATTGGGGATTATCTTTTAACATATGAATTTTGGGGATACATAAACTTTCAGTCATTTCATTTCAGCATTGTTGTACAAGAAAACATTCTATAATAATGAATTGTGCTCTATCTGCAGTCCAGGATGATAACCACAGTTAACATGTGGTTATTGAGCACCTGAAATGTGGCTAGAGTGCTAAACAGTTCACTTTTTAAAGTTTATTCATTTTAAATATAAATAGCCATATGTAACTACTAGATATCGTTTTTGACAGTGATATATGAAGTCTTCAGTTTACAATCTCCTATTCCAAAAAAGGTACATTGTGATTTATAGATTGAAGTACAACTCTCATATGGTCCATGAATGATTGGTTTCAGGGCCACCCTCCAACCCAGGGATATAAAAATTCACAGATGCTTAGGTCTCATAAAATGTTAGGTGGGGGAAGATGGCAGAAGTGAATTGAGCAGCAAGTCCCAATGATTTCCTCCCAACAAAGAAAGGAGGCAGAGAATAAAAGCAGACTTTAGAGGTGGGTGATAAAATAATGGTCTAAGACTCAACTACATAGTCTGAGACCTGGATAGACTGAAAGGTTGGTTACCAGAGGAGAAAACAAAACTCAAGAGTATTCTAACCTGAACCTGTGGATTATGTGTGTGTGTGTTGGGCACATCAGAGAGAGAAAGAGAGAGTGGGGAATGGACATTATTTTAAACTCACTCACTTAAAACAATTGTTGAAAAACTATAGAAAAGATTAACAAAATTTAAAATTCAGAAAGTACTTGAAAATAGCACAAACCACTTAAAACCAAATCATAAAGATAAAGCTGAGGGTGTGGTGCAGATATCTTTTGGAGCCTGCAGCCCACCAGTTATCCTCTTAAATCAGCACAACATCTTTCCCTGCCCACACAGTTGCAACATAAACCAGAGGGAAGCCCCCACTGCAGTGGGCTTTTTTAAGGATCTGGACAGAAATTACTTCTAGAGTGACCTCTACTAGTCATAAATCTCTGAAAGTCTCTCCTTACTGTCCAATTCTCCCTGAACAGAAGAATGGAGTGAGTTGGTGGGGACCTGGGCTGGGCAAGTGTACCTAGCCCTGCTCAGCCTCCTGGGACCCAGGCAAGGGCAAAAAGCTCTGCACAGGCTTAATGAACTCAAAGGCTACAATGAAGCCCCTTTGGCCCCCAAACCAAAGAAAGTTGATTTACCAGGCCCTGACCTCTAGTACTTAAGGGAAGCATCATGGGAAGCCCAGGGATAGTCCCTGGGATTGTAGCACCATATTAGAGGTAAACTGCCTGAATATCCAGTGACTAACAGACCCAGTGGGAAATTGGCAGAGGCTACACAGTAGGAAGGGTTGGATGTCTATCCACAATAGGTGCCTGGCCTGATCCTTGATCACAACTGGCAAGTGACAGGGCATTATTTGGATATTTGCAGGAACTTATACCAGACGTATTAAGCACAGAGAATCAATACCTACCATTCATAATCTGGTGGAATGTAAACTGGATTGCAGGTGAACCACCAGAGACCCTTCATCACAGCATCTCAGAGAGCAGAGGCAGCAGTGGGAACACCTCTGAACCACAGAACACCTGTTGAAAATCCACAACCAGTGTTCCTGCACACACAGAAGGCTATCAGGATCTTCAATACCATGAAAAGAATCTAGCAGAGGGGAACAAATACTGGTGACCAATAGCAAACGCAGGGGCACATCAGAGTCTGCATCCTGAACTTCTGCAACATTAGAATCAGCCCACTCACAACACTACACCCTCCTAGAGTATGAACAACTATAGTGTCAACTTAGATTATATAAATAACTTCTTAACTTGAATGATAATTGTTAATGCAATAGTCAACATTGTATCTCCAACCCATTTGAATATATTTCATGTAATTGTATAAAGGATTAATTGGAACCAATCTTCCTAGCATTGTTTTTCTAGCTCTAGTTTATTCTTGCTTCTCTTACCCCCTACTCCTCCTCTTGCTACTACCTTAAATATACGCATTCACTTATTCTCCTTTCTACCTTTGTGTAAGTACCCTTTTATAGTTTGTAATTACCCCCTTCACTCACCCTTTTTTTCTGTTTTTTTCCCTCCCCCATTTGCCTACACTTTTTTCCTCCCACCTTTTAGAACTTACTTAAGGTTATAGTAAGTTTACTAAATTTAACTACTAAATTAATTCTTATATAATTAATGAAATTTTACTTACTATATAACTTTTATAGTAAGTGTACTAAATTTAACTACTAGATTATTTTTTTTTACCTGTTCCAGAACTTTATTATAGGTTTATACCTAAATTTGAGGAACTACAGTGAATAATTGCAATAAGTTTTTGTTCTTACAAGGTTGTATCGTACAAGATTAGGGTCAGAAGTGATTATACTTAAGAGGGCTCGATGGTATCTCTTAAAGTGGAGCTGGTATTGGGACCAGCAGAAGTCACACATTGAATTAAAGTATTGTTATCTAGACATCCATCCAACCCAGGGCTCTTAACAAATAGAAGCTCCATAGTAGTTATTCACTTAAAAGAAGAAGTCAGAACTATACTGATAGATGGGTAGATATAAAAACAATGTAAAAAATCAAGGGAACAAACCATCCCAAACAGCCCATAATGCTCCAACAATTGACTCATTGACACTACAGTGGAGGAAATGTCAGAGAAGAGATTTATAAAATTCATAAACATTCTATGAACTAAAAGATGATGTAAAGAGTGAAATCAGAGAGGAAATACAGGAGGTGAAAGATTACTTCAATAAAGAGAATTAAAAAGAATTAAAATGAAAATCCTTAACATGAAGGAATCAATAAATCAGATTAAAATTTCAATGAAAAGCATCACCAGCAGACTAGACATCTTTGAGGACAGATTTTCATACCTCAAAGATGAAGTATATAATCTTGAAATTACAGTTGACCATAAGGAAAAGTGTTACAAAACCACAAATAGATTATTCAAGAAATCTGGGATATCCTTAAAAGGCCAATTTTAAGGTTTATTGGGATAGATGAAGGCTCTGATATACAAACTAAAGGAACACACAATTTTTTTAATGAAATAATAGAAAAATTTCCAAAAATTAAGAATG